TGCAAACCGACACACCTGATGATGACCGTTTGAGTTATGGTCGAAACGTCGTGAGAATTTTTTATTGTTTTATATATATTTTGTTATTTTGTTGTTTCTCTTCAACGTGACTTTACCGAAAAAACTAAGAATATAGTTTTGATGTAGTTTCCTTATTCACCAAGGTTCCTGTACCTGACACCATTGCAATCATTGAAGACTTGGTTCATCAAGGACTAAACACTGAGGTACCCCCCCTGGTGAGACACTGTTTAACCAATACATACTTCACTTGGAATGGAACTTTCTACAAACAAACTGAGGGCACCCCAATGGGCTCCCCCCTTTCTCCAGTTATAGCTAACATTTTCATGGAGAAATTTGAGACTGACGCCATCCAGACTGCCACTCTGCGCCCAACCTTATGGAAGAGGTACGTGGATGACACTTTTGTCATCTGGCCACATGGCCGGCCTGCTCTAGACCAATTCTTCGACCACATCAATTCCATACACCCAGCCATCAGATTTACCATGGAAGTCGAAATAGATGGCAAGATACCTTTTTTGGATGTCCTAATTAAAAAGAGACCTGATGGTTCAATGAGCCACTCTGTCTACAGGAAAGCTACCCATACGGATGCTTATCTGAAACCGGATTCCCACCACCATCCATCACAGAAGAATTCTCTCATCAAGACTCTGTATCATAGAGCCCAATGCATATCCGACCAGGAACACATAAGCAGTGAACTCAAGCACGTACACCAAGCTCTTAGGGCTAATGGTTACTCCGACTATACAATCCGCAAAGCTATCACTCAAACCATGAAGAAGAACCCTCTTGAGGAGCCTTTCAAAACCATCACTTTACCCTACATTGCTGGGATCACAAAAAAGATCTCCAAAATCTTGAATAAACACAAGATCCAGGTCCGTTTCAACACATTACATAAAATCCGTGATCTGGTTCCGTCTGTAAAAGATGTGATTCCGGACATACAATACCCTGGTGTCTACAAACTAAGTTGCCTCTGTGGTAGTAGTTACATTGGAGAAACCAAACGCCATATCTCGGACCGCATTCGTGAACATAAAGCAGACGTTAAACACGGTAGGACCAACACCTCGGCCGTAGCAGATCATTGTTCTAATTCAGTAGGCTCACATGCCATTGACTTTTCCAAGACGGAGGTTCTTTGTAAGCCATCTGGCTTCCATGAGAGATTCGTTCATGAGGCTATCCACATATACAAACACAGAGACAATTTCAACCGAGAAGATGGATTCTATCTTAGCAATCATTGGAAAGATTTGATAAATCATTTCAGTTCTTGATTGATTGTTCACGCTTACAGTGCCTTTCAGACAGCATACATAAAAACAAATTTCGTCTCCCCCCTCCTCTTCAAAAAATAGATGGACTAGTCCTGGCAAACTGCCATAGTTGCGCGTGACGCAAACGTTATTTTTATATATATAAATAAATAAACATGCCGTTTTCAAAATAAATTTATGCAAACCGACACACCTGATGATGACCGTTTGAGTTATGGTCGAAACGTCGTGAGAATTTTTATTGTTTTATATATATTTTGTTATTTTGTTGTTTCTCTTCAACGTGACTTTACCGAAAAAACTAAGAATATGAATTACTGCAGTCACGAAAGCTTTAAATCAAAATTTTAGGGCCCTTCTTATTAAAAAAAGGCATTCATGAGATTCAGTGAGGCTTTGCCGAGTAAAGAAGCAGAATGGCAATAACAGCGCCGTGGTTTATTCTCTCCCGGGGGCAGCTTGGCGCCCAGCGTGTGCTCAACGCGCTGCTTATTCCCGGACGCTATTTGGCACACGGTAATAATACATTTACAGGGTGCACCCGAGTTCAATTCCCTGCCATGGGCGACGTCAGTGTGGGTGAGTTGACACGCGAGCGGTGTGCGGGCACACGCTCCCACGAGGCCGGGGCAATCAAAAATATTTCACACAACCCCCATGGCTGGCAACGGCATGGGGGAAGCCTTCATCCAGCAATGGATGGACAAAGGTCGGCACATTATTAATGACAAATTCGTTAACATATGCTTGCATATCCCGCCGCCTAAAGGGACTCTCTCGAGCGGTGGCGTACAAGATACAGTGCACTTATTTACCAAACAACTCTCGGCTTCAACAGCCATTCCAATGGCCAATTTGGTTGCAGTGGCGACGAGAGAGCTCTGATTTTGATCATGCAGACACGGTATTCGTGTGTGTGCACTGCGGTATGGGGAGCGGTAGTGCAGCGTTTAGCGCTGCGCTACGAACCCGGCGACTCGAGTTCGATTCCCGCTAACGGCCAAAACCGGTGACGACTGTCTGAACCGGTCCTGGTCCTCCCCTAGGTCGACTCAGCCTCGAGTGAATACCTGGTTCGGTGTGTAAACATCGCCACTGGGGACACAAAGGCGGCCGGGCGTGGTGCTGACTTACCCACCCCCTTGTGTGCCGTGCCGGCCTTCACAGGTGCTACTCGCTAACAGCACTTGCCCCAACGGTCTATGAAGGCTACACGGGGGATCTTTGTCTTTTTCAGCATGTGACTCATGGCTTAAGGAGACGCGTGGGAGTTGGCGGTGGTGGTGGAGGGGGAGGAGAGGGGCGCTTTGGGCACGGGTAGGAGCTGCCTCCTCCACCTCCTCCTCCGCGCGACTGGCAGCGCGCCAGCCAGCCAGCACTGGCGGTAGTGGCACCAGCGGTGGTGCCCGATTATCATCGCCCCAGCCATCGTGACTCGCCTCTCAGTGTCAATTTTATGTTTGCCTACTTTCTGCAAGGTTGTTATGAATGGATGAATGAATGGGCTGCGTGCTCAATGAGATTCCCCGTTTAAGCGCATCCAAATAAAGCACGCGAATGAATGCGGCTTTGATTGAGCGGAGCGGCGTTGCTTGCCAGCTGGTTAGAGGAAGGATCACAAACAATGTGCACAACAGCGGAAAATGAGTCGGTGTGGATCGCCTAGCTGTGGCAGCGTTCCGTGAATGAAGATGCGAGGGGGGGGGCTGAATTTTGGGTTGAGGGTCATGCATCGTCATAGGCTTTAATTTCGGTAGGAATTATTACAATTAAGTGGAAATAAATAGGAATAGGCTCAGGATCGGCGGGACATGGATCGGTTTTTTTTTTGTCACGGGAGGCGAGTCTGTCGAAAATTTCAGCTCGTCAGCTTTCGTAGCTGCGAAGATATTAAGCGTCAAAGAATTGAAAGAATATAAACAGACAACAGGGCAAGTTCAATAAACGTGTGTAAAAAAATAACCTTGCTCAGAAAGTAGATAAGACCTGCAGATACATCGCAGTATTGTACACACGTGAGCCGAACAACCCAGGCCCTAAGCCACCCCACGCTTATCTACGTGGCAAAGAACACGGATATATTTAGGTGGAATTGTTTGTGTATAAATATCCACCGAGTGTTGCTGAGGGTTTGAAGAATGAACTCACAATCGGAAGGTCGCAAGTTTAAATTCCAATCGAGGGTGTACCTGCATTTATGAAGCATATATGACTTCTGTAATGTGTATTTGTTCTCTCGTCCACATGTTCCTCTTTCCATCAGTATAATAATCACAACTACTGCTACAAATGTCTGTCTCTAATATATACACATATATGTAACATTCATTCTCGTGAACAGAATGAAAAGTTCTGGTTCTTTACGTTATGTAGAGAAAAAAATATTTATGACTCAACGGATATGTTGCAAGTCAAAATAATCAACGACGGCCAAATTACATACAATTAAAGGTATAATTAAGGAGATACTGTCAAATCAATTCATGAATATAACATACTGCACATGATGCCAGCAGTGGCTGTTCAGGAGGAATAATATTAGTTGGAAAACAACAGCTTACTTAATGTATACACAAACATATTAATTTAAGTTGGGTTATTTTTCACGCGTGGGATTTTCATGACCAAATTCACTACTGACCCAATAGAAATGAGCCCTGCGCAGGCGAGAATACATTCAGATCCGTACGAGCCGCTTAATTTCCCCTCGATGTGTGGAATTTCTGCAACAAATTCAGCGGCCGTTAAATACAATCCAGAGCTTTTAGGGGAGTACAATCGGCGACGCGGCGTATGCGAATGCGTCTCGATTCGCTTGAGGCCAAATTATTCCTCCTCCTCCTCCGTGTTGTCCTGCTCACCGCCACTGCTGGCGTGAAATTCCACGCACGTCAGGTGATGCCGCTTCTTCGCTACGGGGATGCCCGGACATTCATTGCCTTAATCCGACACGGATCAAGATATAGTGGCGTTAGGTCCTCGTGGCCTGGAATTTAAATGTCCACGAAGCAAGAGGCCTTTAACCTCGGAATGTGTACTTACGTGGCCAAGCGCCTGCTGCTTAAAAGCACTGCACATTACCGCACACCCATGTGCTTTGTACTGACACGTCTAGATGTCGAATTTGTAAATGATGAGAATGTGTAGTAACAGAAAAATAGGGCAGGCCGGTGTGACAAAAATTATCAACGAAAGGCAAAAATGAATAACAAAAGCACTCGGCGTACGTGCGTTAATACAAAACTTCTGATCGGAATTTGCTCGTGTTTTGTTGCACGGCAATAGCAACACGCCTCGTCGCGTACACACAGGTGATAGTTTTTTGCAAAAAAAATGTTACGAGGTGAAAATTCGTACAAAATTGACGTTGCCGAATGGGAGAAGGGAATGCCGGAACGTAAGTTGCATGCATCAGTCTGGCCGAGGCTGCGTGAAGCCACGTGAGGCATTCATTTCGTACGACACCAGCGCCCTGGGTCAATGACACACCGCCCACATCAACAAGGCACTCACTCAACGCAGCCTCGCAATGCAATGATATGACCATTGCTTCAAATGTAAACAAAAGGGATTCAAATGACCCGTATGCATTGACAGCACTTGGCAGTGCTCAAAACAGCCAGTATTTCAGTGAAGCGCACTAAATCGGCCCCTATGCTCTTACGCTTAAGGCTCCAGTGGAGGAACTCATATCCCAGCACTGAGCACAAAGACAAAGATTCACCAGTAATAGCCCTAACAGACTGTTGGGGGCAAGTGCTGTTAGCGAGTAGCACCTATGAAGGCCGACACGGCGCACGAGAGGGCTCGGTGGCCAGCACCTCGCCCACTGAACACAGACATGCTGCCCCAGCAACAACCCCCACACACTGTGCCAGCGATGTGCAAATCGCTGGCACAGTGTGTGGTGCTGGTGGTGGGATCTCCCTGCCAATGCTGTTACAACAATATTAAGACAATTTAAGGCATGGCAACAGTGTACTGAACATGAGAAAATTACAAACGTAATGACTACAAAACACAATGTACGCCACTGAGTATTAATATCAATCCGTATAAGGTACTGTAAAGTATGCAACACGACCACGCACTAATTCTGGTCCAAGGCAACTTATTTAACCGCACGAGAGGCCATTGAAATACAGCGACCCGTTTGCAAATAGAAACTTGGGAAATCACGCAAGCGTTATTGTTATTTTAAAAAAAATGTAGTTACGAGCGATCACACCTGCAAACGAATTAGCACTGAAGGCAGCCTTTGAGGTCGAGATGTATCCAGGCAACGCCATTTGCTCCTTTTCACCCACGAAGCATAAACATTATGAAAAGTCGGCATGAAAAAACCCATCAGCTTAATTGACGCGGGCATGCCTTGGGTGCTGTGACGGCAATCCCTGGGAGGACAGCACCTGGTTCATTATTGGGATCGATGGGACGGGGAGACGCCAGGCCATGCTGCCTTGCGGGAGCACTGCTCTCCTGACACCACATTTACAGCAGGGAATTATTAGCAGCCCTATTTGAAGCTACACCAACCTCATCATTTTCTCATTTACACCTATAATCAGCGCCTGTTGCTGGTAGGTAAGGCAGTACGTAACACTGTCAACAAATTAATTGGTTTATAGAGTGTCATCATTAATGCATCATCGCTTTGCTCTTTTTGAGCCTCTAAACAAACATTGAATGTTCTGTAAGCAATATAACTAACTCATCATTCAAAATAAATAATCCAATATGAATATTGCACAAACCATTGTTTTATGAGAGGCATTTGCTATCGGTGCATTTCCCGATTCCCAAAGGGTAATTCCTAACATAATGATACAACCATTAGCCTCTATTATCAAGGTGATGTCGATGTGAAGTATACTCGATGAGGTTTGACATGTGCCCAGGATACACCTCCAATTGTCACGATTGGCTACATACGATGCGAAATAAGTTCAACATACATACGCACACGTGGCATATTATCGAGCATACGCACATGGTATGATTCAACATTCTTGCGTGTTGCAGCTGTCTCCTCTACAGCCTTCCTAAAACCATCATCTTTAAACTCCAAATGATCAAAAATTCCATCGCCAGACTCCTCACAACACTCGTAAGTTGAGACTATATCACTCCAATATCCAAATCGCTCCTGGATCAATGTCAAAACCTCACTCATCATTATAGAGGTCCTCCATGGACTCGTCAGTCACTACTTATCCCCTCTCATCTCATTCTAACTCATCACACACTCTCCGCTCCAGCGCTCCAGACTTTGTGTTAATGAACAATCGCCCAGACGTCCATGCTTTTAATTCCCCTGCCCCTTTTCAAGTCGAGGTTTGAGACGTAATTTTTGTTCCCGCTGCCAATGACTGCCTCTTTCTCATTTTAAAATAAATATTCCCTGCAATTTCCTGTAGAACATTTTGAGATGTGGCTGCATTTAGATGCTGTATTTTTTATTGTGATGTAATTTTAAAAATACATTGTAACAAAGGTGACAGTTTCTAAAACACGGAATGCTGGCTTATAGTTTGTAACAGTATTATTGGGGATTTCGTTGTGTTCAGCGAGCGGTATATGAAGAAACATTTCATGCAAATGCAAGGGCACAGCACGGACGCCTCCCATTTACACCTCGGTAGATATCGGGGGGGGGGGGGAGGGGGTGGAGAGGTGTGCACCCGAGAGAAATCACGAGTTCACTGCCAGCCATTGTGGGTCGCTGATTAACTATATACAACGCCGCCGTGATTTACCATGCAAATCGCCAGCCAGCCTCGTCCCGGTTCCAAGCGCATGATGCATGGCCTCAACGTTTCGTTCCGCGGGCTGTGCGTGCGGAACCACCGCAGCCGCCGCCACATCGGAGGTCACAGAACTTCCCAGCTGCAAGGCCGGATGAAGGTTCTTGTAGGCCCTCGGCACTTCTGCTTCGTAGGCCTTCGGTGGTAACTCTCTACAGCTGCTACTGGCCGCTGCCCCATGTCACTGCCGCTGCTGTCAACTCCACTTGCTTCACGCGTAGCAACAACAGCAACGCCGCCTCGTCTTCCCTTGCACTGCTCTCCATAGAGAATGGGATTGTGGGGGGAAAAAACACAATTTGAAGATGTTGTTGCTGATTTTGCAATGAAAAAATCTCGAAGAGTGCATCTCCGGTGTTAATTTCTCTCTCTCTCTCCTTATGAAAAAAAGGTTAACACTGACATGACTCTGCCTCTTTGTATATACACTGTGCCTATCCTTACCATATACATATATTTATTCAAGAAGATATCTTGGCTAAAACATTTTTGATCATACATACATACAAACCAAAAAATATGATCAACATTTTTTTCGTAGGCCCTTCAGTTTTCGTGGGCCTTAGACCACACAGTGCCTACTGTGTGGCCTCTTAGGCAACACGGCCCTGCCCAGCTGCAAGTAGCGATTTACGAGTTCATCGCCGTCATTCCCAGAGAAACCCCAACCCAGTGGCCAACTTGGGACCACGGAAAATGTTCTGCCTCCGAAAATTGTCCTGATGCACCTATTACAGTCGCGTCCTGCACTCAGTGGCATCTGGGGAAATTCCTGGAACACTGGCGACCTGCCAGGAACTTCCTAACAAATTGTAGTTGCGTGAAACGACAAGTCAATAGATTCTCCAGCGCTTGCAAATATTCAAGGATATATATTTTAAAACCACATAGCATTATTAGTCTCATACGAATGACCCTTTTTGTCTGAGGGAAAAATGTAAATGTTTATTGAATTAATTCTACTTTTTAAAGTTTAAATTGAAAACTCATTTCTTTAGAACTGCCTTTTTTACGTTTAGTTTGTTGTCATTTGATTAGCACGGTTAACTGCGTACGGTGCGAAAGAAGTTCAACGTATTGGTGTGTTGAACTAAAAACTTGCCTGGGGATACACAAAAGCACTTCATTTGAAGTTATGAAACTTGTTAAGAACATTTGGGTGGGGTGGGGAAGGGGGGGTAGTTAATGTTTCCATCTTTGATTAATGGTGTAAGAGTGGCGAAATGCTTAGGGTGCTTCCATGTGCATTGAAGATGGCACTGCAAGAGCGGTTCAACCAGCCAGCCACTGCATTTGAGCGAAGGGTGCGAAATTGCGTTGATGGCCCTTCCGCCCCTCTCTCATGCAACTAGAATGACAATTTAGGCTACAGTCGCTGCAGACGTCCATACCACAGAGGCGTGGAAGAGCGTGACATCAAAAGACACGGCACTCGACTCCTTGGGATTCAGCCGTCGGTAAACCGGCTGCCATTTCAGTAGATGACTAATCGCTCTCGACTTGCGGAAGGGCGGGACGCTCCTGGTAAATCTCCCCCCCCCCCCCAAAAAAAAACACCGCCCGTGCCGAAATCGTCACGGGGGGGGGGGAAGGGGAAACGCCACCGAGAAAGGCCGCAACGTCTCAATGACAAACTCACTCAGCATAGCGGCTGGTGATTTTTGTTGTTGTTGTTGTTTGCACGCGTACGCGATTGTGACCGAACAAAAAAAATGTTTAAACAAAAATCCATCGCGCTGTAGAACTATAGGTTGGTGAACTCGGGCGATTGCAGCATTTGAAGTGCTCGCGTTTGAGCGCTTTCCAGACAAATGTCTGGCGATGCATTGGTCTCCCACCAACATTTTAATGAAGGCAAACTGTGTTGACAGAGGTCACCATGGCTGCTCCAGCGTTTGCTGTATCATCGCATGGCTAAATCAATCTCATTACCGTGTGTGTGTTCACCTCCCACTGCGCCAGCTATCTCTCTCTCTCTCTATCTCTGCATTTTTTTTTAAATGGCCTCTAAATAATTATAACTTTTAAATGATGTGTATTTTCAAAGGAAGGAAAATGGGGTTAATATTGCTCCCTAACGTTTTGTGTGTGTGTGTGACATCCGTGCAGCAAATGCAACGCTGCTACATTAATTTCCACGACAATCGGAACCGCACTTGCGGCGTTTCCCTCTGGCAAGAGGCGCGCACGCCCTCGCTTCACGATTCACGCGACTGGCTACGTACGGTGCGAAAGAAGTTCAACATACAGTGCACGCATCGGAGCTGAGCACCAGTTACCCTTCACGTGCATGCAGTAATACTCCACACGGCTGAAGAAATGATCGTGTCCACATTTAAAAAAAAGAACGATTGTTTAATCAAAAATGTAAAAATCACATTGTCGCAATAGTCACTGATGTACGATTGCTTGATGTCTGTCTGGGTCACGAGTCATCCTATCTTAGCAGGCTGTCAGCTCTTCTTGGAAGAAATTAATAGAATGGCTACCAACATGCCGCTTACATTTTTCACGATGGCGGTAAACCACCGTGGCTTCTTGTACCTTCGTAAGGCAGGAGGGACACGGCAACGGTATTGGCATGTTTTAGTTCAACATTGTTATTTTTGTCTTTTCCAACCAGTCCAATGTCGCATGGACGTCGCGTTCGTTTCTTCGGTCGATGCCTTTGATGCTTTGGACTTGACCGCAGTCACAGTCCGGTGATTCTTTGCGCTTCCATTTGTGGGTGGCGGGGGGGGGGGAGTGCAGTGCGCGTGCTTCTCCCACGTTGCGTTCGAGCGCGGTGGAGTGAACTCGGAGTCGCCGTGAGAGAGAGGGAGAGACGAGCTGGCTTGCTTCCACAGTCGGCTCCTCAATGACGTTTCTTTTTGTTTTGTTTGCCGCATCAATAGCCGCCCGCGATTCCACGCACATAGCCGCCCGCGAATTGTCACGATTTGTCAATGCACTGTTACTGTTTTGGGGGTTGTTTTTTTCCATACTTCGCCGTGCTGCTAAGTATGGGTTGGTGATGGGAGGGCCCAGAACAGGTTCAGATTGTCACCGCACACAGATGTTAATCGTGGCCAGAATTCAGACTCAGATGCGGGTTCACAGCGCATTACACGAACCACTGCGTCACCGCTTTACCCCGACATAATAATAATTGAGTGTTTTATTAACTGATGCAGTCACTGAGTTCAAATACTCTTTTGAAGCAATGCAACGCTTGGCTGCTTCCACTTCAACGAGTGGTTTTGCTTAGATGAAACTGAACAAGTCCACACAGATGAGTTCATGAACCGATTTGCTGTACTGCCAATGGCAGTGTGCCATATTATGGCCACCCACACAGTTGTGCAATTCACAAACCTTTGACTCCAAAGACGAAATCACAGGCATTTGTAAACGAGCCCGATCTCTGCATCCAGTACCATTCTCTGTCGACCAAGGGCGATATTGACCAAACCAGACACTGAATTTGCGCATGACTAGCAATTGCATTGCGTGCATATTACATTCACCAATGCGTACACACTCACACGGACACACATGCACAATTACACACTTGTAACAACGCACTCTCGACGATCAGGCACATACATATTTTAGTGACATTTGATATCTCAACTAAACGTCTAGTTGCTTGACGACATCGTTCGTGTTTTGTACGTAGAACATTGGAGAAAAACAAGGAGCATTTTTTATGCTTCTCGCTGCAATATCTCTAAAGAGCAATGATCCAGATCATCTCCTGTCTGCTTGGGAATTAACAATCGTTAAGACTAAACTAAATTAGAAAGTATTTTTATTTTACCAAGTAAGGCCCAATTAGCTATATAGCTATACTCTGGTTTTTTCGGTAAAGTCACGTAGGTAAAGTAAATGAAAACAACTAAATTAAATCACGACGTTTCGGAGGCAACACAAGCTTCCGTCTTCAGGTGGAAATCGTCACAGCAAAATAGCTGTATCAAGTGAAGAGAGCTCTTAGAGACCCGAGATTATATACAGGTTAAGGGGGAGGAGCTAGGAAGGGTCGTGGAGGGGGGGGGGGCTAAGAATAGTCGCATTTTGTTATGCTGCAGGGGGTTAGGGGGACGGAGAGGCGATGGCGAGCGGTTGTCAATAACGAGCGCAACCAACTGGAAGATATGGAAATGGCTGTTCAATTATAAGGCAGCTAAAGAGCTATATAGCTCTTGTTCAGAAGTGATATCGTCACAAATGATAGCTCAAAAATTGGCGTGTCATGCGGAAATGTGTAGCAACCTTAAACTCTAAACGCACGTTTCTCAATGTGGAGGGAAACCCCGTAGGACCCGAAGGAAAATCAACGCGAGCACGGAGAGAACATGCACACTCAAAATACACAGGCATCAGGGTTGGGATCGAACCCACTACCTCCTGTATACCAGGCGAGGTAGTTAACATCTCACCACCGTGGCAGGATGAAGGCTTCAGAAAACGTCAATGGTACACTCAATGGAATGAGCTGCTCCAAGATTCAGTGCATCCTTGCCATTTGATGTATACACATGGCCAACCATAATTCCCCAATGTGATAATATAACGAAAATTTCCGATTATTTCTTTCAGTGCCCCCCACTCAAAAGGGTTGTAGGTCATTGAACACATACAAACCGCCTCCATGAGTGTGCTTGGAGTGTACTATCACACATGTGCCATGAATGCCAACTGCAGCAATTCACAAGCAAGTGTGCACATTCCAGCAGGCCAAGCAAAAATGGCAAGCGGCATGGGATGATATCGTCCAAACGGGGAACGCACAATGAGGTCCAACGACACAAAACACTGACACTGAAAGGGGCACATCAGAAAGCTGAAAAAAGTGATTTTTTTTTTTTACTGTGTGCTCCAGAAACTGGTCTATGCAAAATGGGGAGCTTACCGCAAAATATTTACCTTGCGTTACTCTGCTGCAGTGCTGTGCCCAAGTATGATTGTGATGAAGTCACCCACGCAAAATTGAAACTCAATTTAATCAATCCTGCTGCATCATACCTTAAAACTCCCTCCCACACGGCCTCGCTTGGATTGCTCCACCATCACCGAGATAGCGTCCCTTCGGTGAGAAGGAGAGACAGAAACAGGTGCATGATTCAAGACAGTCATCGCACAAACACATCCCACCACTATCGAGGTTGAAGCTCACCCATAGCTTTTCCTCGGAAGACCCTTAACCGCAAAACGGCACTTAGCACCATGGCTAAGATCAAGTGTAGTGGGTGCTACGGTGATGAGATGTTAACTACCTCGCCTGGTATACATGAGGTCGTGGGTTCGATCCCAACCCTGACGACTATATACTTTGGAGTTTGCGTGTTCTCCCATGGTCGTGTGGATTTTTTTTCCGGATCCTACGGTTTTTCCCACGACATTTAGAAATATGCGTTGAGAGTCTTTGGCTGCTATACATTTCCACATGATGAGCCACTTCATTGAGCTATCATTTGTGACCAGGTCGTTTATGAAAAAGAGCTATACAGCTCAGTGGGCCTTACCTGGTAAAATGAAAAAAAAATGTTCATTAGATTTAGTTTAAAAAAAGCAGAAAATGCCTATGACCTTGGGGATCCTGATCTCTTACAGGCCCTGACCTCAAACCAAAACACTGATGCAATATAAATTATGCGACAGATGGCGTGGCAAAGACGGATGACAATGTGAACCAAGTGGAAGCTAAGAAAAGACCCCCAATGTGAATATGCAGAGCCCAAGCAAACGCTTGAGCACCGTCTGATGCAGTGCCCTTGGTCAACATTCTGCACATCTGAGCAGATAGTTGAGCCGAGTGACAATACCATTTCTTGGCAGTAGTTTGGAGTGACAAGCCTTGATATTGAATTCAATGGTCGATTTGTAAAAAAAATCCAAACTACATAGTGCCTCTGGGTGGTACACATCATGTAAAGCCTTTCAAATCAAATTGGCACTGTGTTGTAAGCCTCAAAGAAACATTGTATTTGTACTGTACATCCCAGTGCAATGCAGCTGTTCAAGAATGTGTAATTTAACAATAAATCTTTACTTTTTTTTTCAGAACACTACACGCACCGCATAATGAGGAACACTACGACAGTGGACTGAAAAGTGCGCGGTGCCAATCTGTTCCCGTACAGCGAATTCCTTCGGGCTATAACGGACATGTGCGGTAGAAGATCCCCCTTGTGTCAACAACACACGGCCCTTTCGGGCGGCACTCACAACAAAACGTTGACTTCGCGGCTGTAACGAATGAAGATAAAATCACATTCTCATCCTCCCTCTTTTATTACAAACGATACGTTGCTTGCACACAAAATAAGGAATCGTAACGGAGAATAGAAATTATCATAGGAAACGTTCAATAGCATATTTAAAAGGGTGCCATTTATCGGGTGGTGGTTATGCTGTCACCAGACTGCCTTCGGGGAGACATTAAAAAGACATCGGGTGGACGTGGACAGAACATGTAATCATGAGAGGGTAGTGGCACAGCCTCAGTTCACACGGTCGATGCATCCTGCAGCGTGGCTCAGGTTGTAGTAGCTCCGTCGGGAAAATGATACATCTTATGAACGGGTGAAAATGCTTCGGGTACAGCCCTTCGTTTGCCGGGAAGGTAACACAGTGGTTGGCGCACTGGGCCACAAACCTGACTACCTGAGTTCAATAGCCAGTCATGGATATTATCAGTGACCAGTGATGTATGAATCGGTACTGGATGAAACCCTATAACCAACCTAAACTGACCAGGGTGGTGAAATATGGTCAAGCAACCCTCATGGCTTACAAGGTGGCCTTCATCCACCAGCAGTGGATTGACAAGGATTTTGTATTGTAATCAATTTTATGGTGAAATGTAAATAATAAGACCATTAATTCCATAACAATATTGTCAACAACGTTGTTCATTCTACAGTTTTATAGTCTTGGTAACAATATGTATTTCATTATGGATTTACTGTTGTTTTTGAAAATCAAAGATGGATTGAATATTAAAACGTCATAGCTTGTAATATGATTTTATTTCTTTACAAATTATTTAAATTTACGTCGAAGTAAACTGATTCTTAAGCAGTACCGTAAATTCATTCCGGAAAAAGAACATGCAGATCATGAAACAATTACAATTCTGAATTCAATTAATTTTATATATCGTACGACCTTCCAGAATGGTCTTGCAAGTGCAAATCATTTACGATCACATTTCTTGCCAGAAAATAACTGTTGCCATGGTATTATAATTAAAACAGTTATCATGGCATGAGATTTAAAAATAGTTTTTAAAACATTGGAGAAAGGATTAACCCTCTCAGATTCGCTGACAAATACGGTCATTATAAGTTTCTAATAACTTTTTTACAAATTTACAAAAAGAGCTGCAGATTAGGGTTCAAGATAAATATACGTTCAGCAAAAAAATATATTGCTGTGGTTTCCCAACTGATGATTATTGCTTGTGTTGCGATCAAAAACGTCGTGATTTATTTCATTTTATACCTATGCGACTTTACCGAAAGAACCAAAGAGTATGTGTACGAAAGTTTGTTAAACAAACGAAAATAATTGTTGGAAAGAAACACAACTGGGTTTAAAATATGCATTTTGAGATGCACTGAGAGACAGAAAGAGAAACATGTTATCTTCTTTGGTTCTTTCGGTAAAGTCACGTAGAATGAGAATAAAATAAAATAATAAAATAAAACAAGACAATAAAATTCTCACGACGTCTCGACCACAACACAAGTAGCCTTCTTCAGGTGAAGGAACAGAACTGTCGGGACGACAGCACTTCAATGAACGCTGCTAAGATTCGTAGCGTCTTTTAAGCTAGGTGAGAGAAGTCAATCACGTTGACAAAGGAGTTTACATATCAAAGAGGAGAATTTAGCATTGAAATAGCCGAGATATTAGCTTGTGACTGGTCACAGAAATAGCTATGTTAAAGTCAAAGTTTACATATCAACAGAGGCATTAGTATATGGACGCTAAAGGGCTGCAACTACCCAACTATCATACAGCAAACCGATGTGAAAAAAACTAAGTAACCGTGGTGTGAGAGGTATTAAGAGGCAATGCCAGCGAAAGAGCTGCGGTATGAAGGTCACCGTAAAATACAATTAATTAAGAACCGAAATGGTTTAAAACATCTTTCCAATAGTTACTAAGCCAGAATCCATCTTCTCGGTTGAAATTGTCTCTGTGCTTGTATATGTGGATGGCCTCATGAACGAATCTCTCATGGTAACCAGTTGGCTTGCAAAGAACCTCCGTCTTGGAGAAGCCAATGTCATTTGAGCCCACTGAATTATAACAGTGATCTGCCACGGCAGAGGAGTTCGTCCTACCGTGTTTCAAGTCTGCTTTATGTTCGCGGATGCGGTCCGAGATGTGTCGTTTGGTTTCTCCAATGTAGTTGCTACCACAGAGGCACTTTAGTTTGTAAACGCCCGGGTACTGTATGTCTGGAACAGCATATTTTACAGATGGAACCAGATCACGGATTGTATGTACTGTGTTGAATCGGACCTGGATCTTGTGTTTATTCAGGATTTTGTAGATCTTTTTAGTGACCCCTGCAATGTAGGGTAAGGTGATGGTTTTGAGTGGCTCCTTAAGAGGATCCTTCTTCATGACTGGAGTGATGGCTTTGCGGATTGTGTAGTCGGAGTAACCATTAGCCCTGAGAGCCTGGTGTACATTGCAGGGGTCACTAAAAAGATCTCCAAAATCCTGAATAAACACAAGATCCAGGTCCGATTCAACACTACATAAAATCCGTGATCTGGTTCCATCTGTAAAAGATGCTGTTCCAGACATACAGTACCTGGGCGTTTACAAACTAAAGTGCCTCTGTGGTAGCAACTACATTGGAGAAACCAAACAACATATTTCGGACCGCATCCGCGAACATAAAGCAGACTTGAAACACAGTAGGACGAACTCCTCTGCCGTGGCAGATCACTGTTATAATCCAGTGGGCTCACATGACACTGACTTCTCCAAGACGGAGGTTCTTTCCAAGCCAACCAGCTACCATGAGAGATTCGGTCATGAGGCCATCCACATATACAGGCACAGAGACAATTTCAATCGAGAAGATGGATTCTGGCTTAGTAACCATTGGAAATATGTTTTAAACCATTTCGGTTCTTAATTGTATTTTACGGTGACCTTCATACCGCAGCTCTTTCGCTGGCATTGCCTCTTAATACCTCTCACACCATGGTTACTTAGTTTTTTCACATCGGTTTGCTGTATGATAGTTGGGTAGTTGCAGCCCTTTAGCGTCCATATACTAAATGCCTCTGTTGATATGTACACTTTGACTTTAACAAAGCTATTTCTTTGACCAGTCACAAGCTAATCCCTCAGCTATTTCAATGCTAAATTCTCCTGTTTGATATGTAAACTCCTTTGTCAACGCGATTTACTTCTCTCACCTAGCTTAAAAGACGCTACGAATCTTAGCAGAATTCATTGAAGTGCTGTCGTCCCGACAGTTCTGTTCCTTCACCTGAAGAAGGCTACTTGTGTTGTGGCCGAAACGTCGTGAGAATTTTATTGTCTTATTTAATTTTATTATTTTATTCTCATTCTACATGACTTTACCGAAAGAACCAAAGAAGATGAATCCTTGCAGTCACGAAAGCTTTAAATAGAAACATGTTAATTAGAGAATAAGCAGAAATATATGTTTAGTGAGATCGCGTAGGTATAATGTAACTATTAACCATAACTCTCCATTACCCGACAGAGCCAATTAAATCAAGTTGTCACTTGGGTAAATATTCAAATTTATTTGGTTTTTAAGCAAACTTGAAATGTTGAAAAGCGAGCAAAATTTCCCACTATTTTAAATCTCTATTGTAAAATGAAAACTTGATTTAATTCGCTGTCAGGTGGTGGAGGGTTATACAGTAGTTAAACATGACATTATACTTACACAATATAACCTAAAATAAACAAATACTGAATCATAATATTGGTCGCGAAAGCCTACGTATGAAACTAAGCGTAAATTAGAGACGATAACATTGTCTTAAAAATTATGACTTGGGTAAAATACATCACTAGAAAGGATGATGATTGACAAGACCTGTGACAGAATTGCAACCAAAGGAGAGAATACACACACGATAAGAAGGCTACCATGGAGTCGGAGCGATACGATCAGCTCATGTACAGGAGCAGAATTAAGTTTGGCGTCGCAGGACTGTGTGGGATAGCTACAACAGCGGTACATCTATGTAGATCATGGCTGAGGATGATGTCAGTTTTATTACCAATTCAAATGAATATAAATGCAAGCTGCTGGGTTGCATCAAGCACAGAATACGTGTTTAGCTTAATGAGGAAAAGGCGCACTTTTAAGCAAAATAGTGATTACGTTTCAGAAATAATTTACTTTGTTCAAGTAGATGAGTTTTGCAATGTTGTGTAACTAAGTGAGGTGCAATTGTTTCTCTGAGACAAGACATTGCCCTTCCCTCGCCACCGTGATCTGCTCTCCGTGTTTTCTGGACTCCCCGATCGCTGACCTGCCCTCTCCTGCTGACGGGAGGGTCAATTTGTCACAGTGTATTTGTCTGGAAACTCTACTGTACCAGGAGCCTTTTGGCATGAACCAACAACCTTGGCTGGGTAGGGCAACGTTTTATGCAAACGCCTAAGCAGTGAAAGCAATTGGACAAGCAATCCCACGCGCTTTTTAATGACTGACTTTTTCATTTGCCTCTTGCTTGTTCCGAGAAAGTGAGACGTGCGTGTGACTTTTGAAATTCTAAACTTTCAAACAACATCATTATGAATGCACTGTACGGTTGCTGTTGTTTCCGTTATTTATGCTCCAATATGTTATCGCATGGTTATCCTTATTCTAGTTTTGTAGAATTCACGGGCTCACATTCTGCAAACTGACAGGCGTGACTAAGCTTTAAGCTCTTCAAAGGAGGTGTGTGAGCATGTTTTTGACACCGCAACGAGCGCAGTCCTTTTCAGCAAAACAATCCAATCCGGAATTAAATTCTCCATTCAACATTTTAATGGCCATTAAGGTTACTGGACAGTGACGAACCATCACTGGTATTTCTAAGAAACCAAACATTCGACAACAGTAACCTTGTGATGAAGGTTCGTTCGATCAGGTAGAAAATACTGTTAAGGCCATAATGGTTGATAAATGATGGCAATAAAAAATATATTGACAAATGCAGTGTTTTCGCCTATAAAACAGGCGTGACGGGTATGGAATTGACTGTATTTCAGATTTCTCCGGTAACCTCACGTTTAAAACGTTAAGTCATTCCACGTTGAAAGCCCTGTGTGTGCAAACACAGAAGTGCTTCGGCAAATGTGGACATTTCCTCTATGGATTAAATATCAACAAAGCCACAGTTGCTATGGCGAATGTTCATTTAAAATGGGGCTGACAACGTCGTGTGCCTGGTTACGACTACTTCAGCACCCACCTGCCAGGCTGCTGTTTACCCAGTCACTACCACCCTAGTACCCACGTGCCAGGCAGTTGTGTACCTTGTCACTACCACCCCAGTACCCACGTGCCAGGCAGTTGTGTACCTTGTCACTACCACCCCAGTACCCACCTGCCAGGCTGCTGTGTACCCAGTCACTACCACCCCAGTACCCACCTGCCAGGCAGTTGTGTACCTAGTCACTACCACCCTAGTACCCACCTGCTAGGCAGTTGTGTACCCAGTCACTACCACCCCAGTACCCACGTGCCAGGCAGTTGTGTACCCAGTCACTACCACCCCAGTACCCACGTGCCAGGCTGCTGTGTACCCAGTCACTACCACCCCAGTACCCACCTGCCAGGCAGTTGTGTACCTAGTCACTACCACCCTAGTACCCACCTGCCAGGCAGTTGTGTACCTTGTCACTACCACCCTAGTACCCACGTGCCAGGCTGCTATGTACCCAGTCACTACCACCCCAGTACCCACGTGCCAGGCTGCTGTGTACCCAGTCACTACCACCCTAGTACCCACCTGCCAGGCTGCTGTTTACCCAGTCACTACCACCCCAGTACCCACGTGCCAGGCAGTTGTGTACCCAGTCACTACCACCCCAGTACCCACGTGACAGACTGCTGTGTACCTAGTCACTACCACCCCAGTACCCACGTGCCAGGCTGCTTGGTATTAGTCAGCGACGCTGACGTCACGAAAAGCGTCACAGCCATCTTGAAACACGTGACTGATGAACAACGAATGACAACATCCACGGGGCTCTTCTGTGTTTCGTGATTGTTCCGAACGAGATCATTAAAATGACTCACGTGAGTAATTGAATGGTGATGTTTTTTTCCTCGAGTGTTCGTACAAGAATAACTATTGTTTAGAGGCCACTTTACGTGTTAGTTGAATGACGCACGCAAGAGCGTTAACAGTCGTAGATGACAATCAGAAATCAATGAAGGGGGGTAGGCGAATGTCCACTCTCGATCACAAAGGGACGAAGGTAATTCCACACTGAGCTGAATCGGCCTTTCCCTCAATATTTCTCACCAATGCCACCGAAGGCCACGGCTTTGCAAAGACGATTTACACGATTTTTGGTCCACATTTTTGTTGAATCACGCAGTGCTCTGAAAGGTCGCGCAGACAACACAGCCGTGTTACATAAACTGCAGTGGGGAGCGTATGGCAGCACACACCATATCACCCGATCCCTTTTGTAACATCATGTTTTATAGAGCACGAATTACACCTTTCAGACACTAAGACATACACTCTTTACACATCAGATTTCAGAGACCCACAGCGAGATGCTTTTCAGAGATGGGGGGGGGAAAACCCTACCCCAGTATAAGAATGTACACATTTAGAATCAATGTGTAATGCATATTTAAATGCAGTTTGAATCGAATGTTTCTTTTAAAAAAAAAACACTTAACATTATCCAATCGATCATTATAATTAGCATAGCCTTTTGAGCACTTTTAGCAAAATGTGTATTTATGGCCCGATTTATTTCGATGTCTCGTTTTGTCACTGTTTTAAATTCATTTAATGCTTTCAAAGTACCCGTTGTAACTACTCATCACTTTGCTCATTGTCGTTTAATCTTTAAAAAGCACTCTCAAAAGCTACTGAAAATGGACATGCAGACATACATCCAGTGCCGGATTAAGCTGGTACGGAGCCTGTTAGCATATGTTATAAAGGGAATCTAAATTTAAAAAGTCCAGAATCACTGAACCGGAATTGATAGCTTGAAAGCATTTAGCGCGGGGCCCTTGAAAGTGCGGCACCCCGTTAGCTATGACATATGTAGCTACTTTTGCTACTCGGAGAATCCGCCACTGCATACACCAAGGGCACAAACGTTGCAGTTCATCCACTTACATTTTGCTGCCGCCACCAATTCGCAGGCATTTTACTGCACACAGAGGAAATACTAATGATTGTTAATAGGCGATTATTTCGTAATTACGTCGCAGTTTCACTCATTAAACAGACGCGAGCTACTCCTAGATGTAATGCAACATACGAATTGAAATGGCCAAATTCCTTGGCAACAGCAGGGCAATTCAGCCTCCAGGAGGGAGAGGAAAATCTCTGTCCAGGGTCTCACTCTATGTACAGTTTATAAACCGCATTACCTGCACCGTAAAATGCTGTGGTCTTGCAGTTGCAGGGTGGCTTCACACCGTATCCTGTGCTACTTTTTTGCAGCCTCAGAAAATCGCAATGCTTTTCCAGTCGCTGGCTTGACGTCGTACATCGCAGTCTTTCGTCGCGTTTTAAAAGACGAAATTCGCTTGAGCGCCACCAAATCGTTCCACGCTGGGCCCCCACTCTCTGTTTGCCACCAAGTTCGATCCTTCGTGAGGATAGATTAAATCATGATAACGATTGTTTTATCCCACCCCATTCGAAATCTAATGTGCAAGTGTTTCAAGCCTTGAGTCAAGTGCAGTGACTATAAAACGGCCAGCTGGTGGGATAGGCGTTGGAACTCCAAGCTTATCAAACCCGTTTGGTTTCAGGAGGGAAGAGTGAAACTCCACTTGCAAGGCCCCCCACCCCCCGCCCTGCAGAAGGACGCTCCTGCGCGGAGACAATGCATTTTTAGAATTGAGTTTTTCACGTGAATCACTCATCTTATAAATGTACAACATTTTCTTTCATGCCTCGCCTGTACTTGATGACAACTCGCAACCCGCACGTCCTTTAGACGTGGTTGTCCGTCCCTCCTAGCCAGTCAGCCAGCCAGCCAGCAAAACATTAAAACTAAAATCTTTCATAGAACCCTGTCTCTACACCTTACTCTTGCTTCATCTGCACGAATATCCCAATTTCTTACTTTTATCTGTAGGACTGCCGTCGTTAATGTAATATTTACCGTAATGTATTGCGATGCCCTCTTTGGTATGGGCGAGTTTTTACTAAAAAAAGACGTTGAATGAATAATTGGATGTCTCGCTTTATCTCTATTCCTCTGTCCCCCTCCTCTACCTCTCCCTCCCTCTCTCTATATTTCACCCGCTTCCCTCACCCATATCTCTCTCCCTGTTTCTATTTCGCTAAAGTCAAAGTCTATTCCGCTCACCCTCGCTCTCTCTATTCCCACCTCTCCATTTCCCGTCTCAATCTCTCTTGACCCTCTCCATAATCGGCCCTCCCACTTGCTCGTCGCTTTCCCTCGCTCTCCTCTTTCCGTTTTGCTCAATCTCTTTCCTCTCTGTGTTGTTGCCCTTTCACTCTCCCTCCCTATCCTCACTCACTTCCCTCCTTCCTCTCTTCTCGACACAATTTGGATTTGCGCGGAATCGGCGGCCGGGTTCGAGAGCGTAGGCGGCGTGGCACCACCACCACTGCACGTGGCTGTGCGCTAGCCAGGAATCCAGACAGGAATCCAGCCAGCAATTGTTTTGGAATACTGGGTGGCCCAGATGTTTCGTGACCCCCAATTAATTGACCCATAACGTTCTTTCCTTTTCCTTTGCATATTCATTTCTATTTGAAATAAGCAATTATGTCTTTTTTTAAAGATTACGTTTTAGATAATGAAATGGGGGTCACAAAACAACTGCACCACCATGCAGTCATGATAACAATGTCCAGTCCTTTGTCAATCCACGGCTGGATGATGGCCCTCCCAACGCAATTATGGTAATTTTTAGCCAAACTGCACCACACTGACCAGTTGGGACATTATGGGTATCTGTCAATATTGGAATCTCTCAATATTGGAAACAGGAGGATGTCTCAACAGATCTGGCTGTCGCCTGATGGTGCCGGTTGTAATTACTGGCGAAACGTCATACTCAAATTGTAAATGTTGTGGCTTGGCTCTCCAACACACTGGTGTGCTGTACTAGTAACGAATTGGCACGTTCTGTTTACGTGACAAACCTTACTAATTGGCTGTGCCGGGTGGTGGCGGGTTTAACGACATATTTATACATTTACGCGATCTAACCGAATATTGGAAGAGCGGATAATTACATGTACTGTACATTAAGTGCATTGTCTTGCATTATTGTGCAACTAACAAAATCTCGAGCTCTTTAAAGTTATGGGAAGAGTCGTATATTTATCAGGACGGCTACCTAAAAAATAGGATGATCCTGGGAAAACCAGGACAAGTGATGAAAAAATAATAGTTCTTACTCTTTCCAGCTAGAATAGATGTTTAAAAAAACACACACCAAATAGCCATCCATCACAAGGCATAAAGTCTGCATGAACCAGACGTGCTTGCAGTAAAACATGTAAACAGGACAAGTGGCAATCCTGTCATGCTGTTCTGGATAAATGGCTATTGTTTTCGCATTGTGAAAATAACCGAATTTGCAACTTAACTGGATTGGAACTTATCTAACCGATTTTAAATTGTCTCCATCCATAATACATTATCTGACAGGACCCCCATTAACAGGGGGGGGGGGGGGAGGTACTCCAGGCTCTGTACTTGGCCCTGTCCTGTTGTCTCTGTACTGGGACATCAACATCTGTCATCTGCACTTTGACATTAACTTTTCCGCTAATGACACAGCCCTGTTGACCTCCGGAAATTCCACGGAGGAGTTACAACAGTGTATACAAAAGGGCTTCAATAATTATTTTAAATTTAATGCCCTAAAGCTGGTTCTCGATGCTAAAACGACCAAAGTTGGGTTATTCTCCGCCTGACCCAAACCTGTCTTGGCACATTTGCGTATTGTGGCTCTGCACTCACACACTGACTACTTGGAACAATGAGATTAAAATAACTAAATTGTATTCATATACAGAAAGAAATGAATATAGTTAATGCCACCATCATGCTCATATTTGATTATTGTGACACCATCTACCGCAATGTCTCATTGTCTCATTCCCTACAATCTCATTCCGCAATACCACTCTCCGTTTTGCCCTTGACACCCCCTATAGAATTTATCGGTGCAATCAGCACATTCACTCAAATCTGCCCCCCGAAATACCCAAAAAGACCATCAATAGGCTGTCTTCATCTGAAAGGTCCTCTTAACATAAATCTACCAATTAGCTAAAGGACCACTTAGTTTCTCTAACTCCCTCCCATAGCTTCAATATTGCCTCCTTATTTCTACTTAAAATTCCGTTTGCTAAAACTTTGGTTGATTAATCCCGCGATGTTTCTCCACGTTTCTTTAAAACCCTTGCAGCTCATCTTCAGATCGGTTCCCTTCCATTACTCTCCCTACTTATCTCACTATTCATCCTAAACCACGGCTGATAATTGCACTTGCATTTTACTTTTTTTTCTGGCGCCTCTTCCTCTTATGTTACATTTGCACAGTTTTATATATTTTTTATTCGGAGGGAAGCCTGGGCAAACACCAACCTGCTGCAGAAACTCCATCGTCAGCGACCCCACGATCCTCCAACCAGGATCTGCCCTACCGAAGAAGATCTGGTCCTCCTTGAATCGAGATCCGGACACTCCATGCAAGATGTTTGGGACACTTTCTCCGTGAAAATTAACGAGAGTCCAGTTTGAGACTGTGGTGGTGATGGTACGACATCTCGGACTGTGCAGAATCTCGTGAGCGACCGCTCAATCGGATCATCCAACGGCAATATTAAATCAATCCACGCGGCTACTCTTGAAGCAGTCGAATGGATATCAAATCTCGACGTGAATTTGTAATCTGTTGCGATTTCCAAAAATGCCATACGAAAGAAGAAGACAGTTTTATATTCATTGTCTTTCATTTATGACCGTTAAATATCTTGGGTTTTTTGTGATTGCAATATTCCTAAGGACTCGTTTGCTGCAATATTGTACTCGTTCGCTGCAACATTGATGTTTTGTCTTGGTTTTGTTGTGCTCACGCACCACGAATCTTCCCTGTGAAATAGCTGAGCAACTGACTAAGCGGCATCATCCGTGTAACAGATACATTCTAACGCAAGCATAGTGGTCAGTGCGGATTGCTTCGGACATTTTTAGCCGCTGTGTTCGCCGTCACCAGGAATCGAGCTTGCTATGTAGCTGGGTTCATGGTGCAATGCGCTAAACATTGCACCACCACCACTCCCACCGCTTGTACATACCCCTTGTACATACATAATCCCATCAATATTCGCTTGGGTAACAGACAGCATAGGCGGCCCATGCTGACAGAATCTCGCATATTCCACAAGGGTTTGTAGAGCCATCTGGCAGCGACTGGGTGGAACTGCAGGAAATGTTTCATGAGCCTGTACACGTTCACATTTGAATTGACCCATTTTACACTTTTCAACAATATACCTACTGCTGGATGAAAGTCACCCGAAGCTGTCGCCATCTCTCAGGGCAACGTGATGCAAACATCCATCTACCTTAGCTCCTGCACGCGAGCAGATTAAATCGCTCCGTTTCCGCAGGTGGCTTGTTCCTTTATTTCGAGATGGCCATTTCGCTCGTTTCGACCCGTGGCACCCAGACACCCATCCGAGCGCCCTGTCCAGCCGAAGACCACTCTTCCTCCAGTCACAATGTTACCTAACCTTGCGCACGTTCTCTCATGCGTGCGAAAGTGAGCCCCCGTTCTATACGAGTCGTCCTGGCAAGGGAACTTTTATTATAACAGCAACACAAAACTCACAACTACACACACCCCGCGGGAAGCTCTCTCGTCGCCAGTGAAACCCCACGCTCACGTCGCATCTAATTTTTTTTTAACATCAGAATCAGACTATGTATTTATGCTGGGGGAATCCGATGAGCTGTAAAGCTCTTTTTCACACATGTCCAGTAGGGGTGGGTCAGAACGTTACAATACAAAAGCAAGATTGTTTTGCTGCTATAAATTTGCACACGATAAGCCACATTGCCTAGCTATCATTTGTGGCCAGGTCGCTTCTGAAAAATAAGTTAATACCTCAGTGGGTAAACAAAAAAGAGTTGAGTTTTATGTGTATATTTGAAGTGATTTATTTACCTTGATTTTATATTCTGCACTCCTATCGTGTTTTTGTACTGTTTGTTGTTGTAACGTTCTGACCCCGTGCCCCTACTGGACATCTGTGAAAAAGAGCTTTATAGCTCATCGGATTCCTTTTGCAGTGTCAATACAGATTCTGATTCATGTATTACCCCGTGTCTTGAGAAGGGGCGGAGGCTTAGCTATAATTGGGCGTGGTCTAAATAAGAGGAGGCGGGGCTTAAATAGGAAGGGCGGTGCCTAAAAAGGAAGGGGTGGGGGCAAATAGGTGAACTTCCCTGTTGATTTTTATTTAAAGCTTTCGGGACTGCAGGGATTCATATTTTTGGTTCTTTCGGTAAAGTCACGTAGAAGGGAACCAATAAAATAATAAAACAATAAAATTCTCACGACGTTTCGACTGCAACACAATCATCATCAGGTGTGAAAACCACAGCAAGACAATTTGAAAAAAGTGGCGGTTTTTTTAACGTTAGCACCACGGAGAGCGATTTGGCAGTTTGTTCAGATGGACGAGTCCATCTATATTCTTAGCTCTTTCGGTAAAGTCACGTTGAAGGGAAACAATAAAATAATAAAATATATATAAAACAATCAAAATTATCACGACGTTTCGACCATAACACAAACGGTCATCATCAGGTGTGAAAAACCAACGGCAAGAAACATTTGAAAGAAGTAGCGGTTTGCATTTATTTACTTATTAACGGTCACATTTATTTATTTATAAAAAACGTCAGCGCCATGCGCAGCGATTTGGCAGTTTATTTAGAAGGACGAGTCCATCCATGTTTTGAAAAGAGGAGGGGGGAGACGAAAAATGAATGTATGCTGTCTGAAAGCCACCGTAAGCGTGAACAATCAATTAAGACCTGAAATGGTTTATCAAATCCTTCCAATGATTGCTAAACCAGAATCCATCTTCTCGGTTGAAATTGTCTCTGTGCTTGTATATGTGGATAGCCTCATGAATGAATCTCTCATGGTAGCCAGATGGCTTACAAAGAACCTCTGTCTTGGAGAAGTCAATGTCATGTGAGCCTACTGAATTATAACAATGATCTGCCACGGCCGAGGTGTTGGTCCTACCGTGTTTAAGGTCTGCTTTGTTTTCACGAATGCGGTCCGAGACATGGCGTTTGGTTTCTCCAATGTAACTACTACCACAGAGGCAACTTAGTTTGTCGACACCAGGGTACTGTATGTCCGGAATCACATATTTTACAGACGGAACCAGATCACGGATTTGATGTAATGTGTTGAATCGGACCTGGATCTTGTGTTTATTCAAGATTTTGGAGATCTTTTTTGTGATCCCCGCAATGTAGGGTAAAGTGATGGTTTTGAATGGCTCCTCAAGAGGGTCCTTCTGCATGGTTGGAGTGATAGCTTAGCGGATTGTGTAGTTGGAGTAACCATTAGCCTTAAGAAACATAGCCAGTGAACTCAAGCACGTACACCAAGCTCTTAAGGCTAATGGTTACTGCGACTAATTGATTGTTCACACTTACGGTGGCTTTCAGACCGCATCCATTCTTTTCGTCTCCCCCCTCCTCTTTTCCCAACATAGATGGACTCGTCCACCTGAATAACTGCCAAATCGCTCTCCGTGGTGCTAACGTTAAAAAACCGACACTTTTTTCAAATTGTCTTGCTGTGGTTTTCACACCTGATGATGATTGCTTGTGTTGCAGTCGAAACGTCGTGAGAATTTTATTGGTTTATATATTTTTTATTTTATTGTTTCCCTTCGACGTGACTTTACCGAAAGAACCAAGAATATGAATTCCCTGTTGATATTTAACAGTCCAGTAATACACCTTAATACTGCACAGTAATCAAACACGTGCAGTGAGTATGAGCTTCACAATCTCAGTGCCCTCCGCGCACGCGGTGGGAGGCCAAGTGGCCGATTCTATCGGTCGTCGTTGCCAAAGCAGCTTGTACCCCAAATCGTCGCAACCTACAACGAGCTCGAGGCATTGCTGCAGCTGCTGCTCGAGTCGTTGTCGGCGCTCGACTGCCCGGCCTGGCGCGCGTCGCTCACTCTTCTCTCGGCGCTCGACTGCTCGGCCTGGCACGCACCGCTCACTCTTCTCTCGGCGCTCGACTGCCCGGCCTGGGGCCCCGCCCACTCTTCTCTCGGCGCTCGACTGCCCGGCCTGCCGCGCGTCGCTCACTCTTCTCTCGACGCTCGACTACCGGGCCTGGCCGTGGCGGTTGACGCGCGCGCCCCCCGGTGACGTCACCGCCTAGCCCCTCCCCCATCAGTCTCGTAAATGGCGGCCGAGTGATTGCCGGGCCCAGGCTCTGCCGCGTCCCCCTCCTCCTCCTCCCCGGCGTCTCCCCCTCGGCTACCTCGGCTGCGTCTCTCCTCGGCTGCGAGTGCCGCCCGCCCGCCCGCCCGCCTCCCCGTCATGACCGTGCTCCAGGAGCCCGTGCAGGTACCACACGCACAAGCCTCGGGGTGCCCCCAGGCCCCGTTGTGGGCGAGGGGAGAAGGAGCGCGGCGAGAGCGGGCGGCACGGGGGTGGGGACGGGCAGAGCGGCACGGGATGACGAGGAGACGTTCACGGCTGGGGTGGCAAGGAGCGCATGGGGGTAGGGATCGGGGGCAAGGGAGAGAGCGGGGAGAGCGGGATGAGGCCATACGACGATTGGGCTGGCAAGGCAGAGAGCGGAGAGAGAAAGAGGAAGGGGGTGTAAAGATGTAGGAGGGTCAGGCGGGACAAGGGGAATAGGGACTAAAGAAGGTACTGGCCTGTCACGGGGGAGCAACAAAGGAAAAGGGGTGGTGGGTGGTGGTTGGGGGGGGGATAAGTTGCAGGAGGGGGTGACAGCGTCTGTCTGCCCTGACCTGTAAGGGGGGGGGGGTGGTAAGACGGGACCAGGGCAGGTGGCAGCTGATAATGAGGAACAAGGCTTGGCCCGCTTGGCAGGAAGAAGTGACCGGTGGAGGGCAGTGGCAGCAGTAGAGGTTTGGGCAACTGCCGGCGTTTTGATGCCGAGAGCACGGCTCGATGGGGCCCCGTGTGACAGCAGCTGACGGTGACAGCCGCCCAAGATGCCCCATTTTTGGTGGTCACCCTCGCCTCTCCCACCAGGCGCAGAGATTAAAACGGGGAGAGGGAGGAGAGGAGCTGAGTCCGCGACCCTTTGTGACGAGCTGCTGCTAGTTAATGCGGTGGTGATGGCTCCTGCCATTTAAGTACAATGTATTTTTTATTTTAAATAACCACGTTGAAGATAACCAGGAGCAGCGGCTTATTAGGGATATTAAAGGAATTTCCCATTCTTACAACCACAAGTTAAACCGTGGTCCCACTGATGAATGGCAGTGCGTACTTATATTAGGGGCCAGCCACCCCCAGGCACCATAACACGTCTTGGGATTTCCGGGCCCCCAACGATTTCACTGCAAGTTGATGCAGCGTGGCTTGTTCCATGACCGTTTGGCATCAGGGAGGTTCTAAGCGGCTTGTCAACTGCAAACCGATTGCTTTTGTCACGTACATCATTCACATTGAGCCGATACATTTTAGTGTTAATTTATTACACTTCAAACAACGCATTTACACGGTGCCGTTTTGTCTGTTGTTGCACGCAGGCTGCAATTTGGCACGCCTTGAATCACTACGCCTTCCGAGATGCCGTCTTTTTGGCCGAGCGTCTCTTCGCCGAAGGTACAGTGATGGCAACGCACGGGTATAATAGAGCTTGCCCCTATGGTACGGTCCCTAAAGTTGACTTGGTCTTGACAGCAGCAGTTTTGCTCCAGACAGCCTGCATTGTGTGTGGATTCTTGCAGTTGCATCAGAAGAAGTGCTGTTCCTCCTGGCCACTTGCTACTACCGCTCGGGTAAGCCGTACAAGGCTTACAGCTTGCTGAAGATGCACTCTTGTTCCACGCCGCAATGCAAGCATCTGCTGGCTCGCTGCTGTGTGGAGCTTGAGAAGTGAGTGCTCTTCACGATTTCACTACTGAAAGAATATATGCAATTTTTGGTGGATGTATCTGCTTTTGTGATTGTGGTGTCAAATTATGAAAGGTTCGAACGATTGTTATTAAATGACTCGCAAACTACACTACCAGGTGAAACTCTTATCAGACGCCACAAGGTTTATTTTGATAAGCGATGTATTTATATTGTTTAACTCCTCTAGGAATTTGTCCCTGCACTGGTCAAGTCGCTCAACCCTGTAAATCATGTAATTAAGTAGTTATCTCCATAGGCTTCAAAGTGTAAAGTATTACGTACTTGTGAATGTGTATGTCACGTCAACAACCCTTGCTGCTATTGAGTGTATAAGGCATCCAATGACAAAAGAGATGTCCGTTAAATGTCTTTTCCAAAATTCTACTGTCTACAGTGTACCGATTCTGTCTCAACAATTGATTAGTTTACAGGCCTATGGTTTTTTCAACAATTGATTAGTTTACAGGCCGATGGTTTTTAACTCTAAATTTCGTACGTAGATTATGATGGTAATTTTTCGCCCATACGCCAAAATAAATTGTTGCTAATTTTAAATGAAAATGCCACCCTTCGCTCGTTTGCTATAGGCAAGCTTTATTAAATAAAACAATACCATTCTAGATTTGAAGCTTTCGTGACTGCAAGGATTCATACTTTTTGTTTTTTTTTTCGGTAAAGTTTACCGAAAAAAACCAAAAACAATACCATTTTCACAGTGCAATTTTGATCTATGCTACAGACTCGCAGAAGCAGAGCGCATCCTGGCTGGAGGCATCTTGGGGAAAGCCCGCACTTACGAGGAGATAACGACCGAATTTGGAGATGCTGCGTGCTTCGTCCTGGCCACACTCGGCCAGATCTACATGTTAGTCCGGGATCAGGGATGGCTCCTTTAATTGTTGCTCATTGTACAGCACACTCAGTACATTTGCCATTACCAACTAAACGTGCATTCTAAGATGGCTGTATCACTCGTGTGCACTGTGTTTTTGCAGTAAAACTGAGCGTACCACAAAAGGTGCAGAGTGCTTCCAGAAGAGCCTGGGCTTAAATCCCTTCCTGTGGTCACAATTTGAGGCCCTCTGTGATATAGGTGAGTGCTCAACTGTTATGCACGCTCTTATGAAGCTTAATTTTGGTATTCTATGATTATTTCCACTCACCGTGAAACTGTGCTTGATTACAGGTGAAAAGCCAGACCCGGACCAGATCTTCAGATTGTCGTCATTGCAGAACTTTGGGACCTGTCAATCCAACTACCCCACACCGTGTGGCAATGCTGGGTCTCGTGTGCAGGAAACTCCGGTCATGGAGACCCCACAGGACACCTTGGTAAAGATTGACTATTTGGTGATAGTGCATTGGCAACGGTGCACAGGCACAAACCAAAAAAAAACTCAACACACTCAATAACACTGCCTTTAAGTAGAAAAGTATATAATGGGCAATATTTCGGGCAATGTATCTTCACAGCACATAGGGAGGTAGATTGGTGAACTATGTGCTGTGAAGAAGGGCCATTATCCAAAGCGTCACCTGTTATGTGCTTCCTTTTAAGGCCACAGTGTTGTGAACGAATGTGAGTATTCTTAGTGAGAATGAGAGTGGAGTGCCAATACGAAAGGCCAATTTTCTTAGGCATACAGCTGTGCACTATACAAGCATGATGTTGAAGTGCATGCATAGTTATTTGTTAATCGGCCATTCTAAATCTGCTGCTGTGTACAAGATTTTGCGTACGGTTTTAATTAAAGCATAATCTTAAATATAAATAGGTGTTTTCTGCTCTGAGATGCACGTAGTTTCAATATATATGGCAATTATGAGAACATTGAAATGTTGGTTTAATGATGCTTTATTTTAGGCATTCCAGAACTACACAAGTTTATTGCAGACCGCATAGGTGACAACTTGTTTAACGCCAAATGTGTTACATATATGCTATATTATATTTATTTTCTTTAACTACTTGAAAAGTCATCGGACCAGGATAGTCTCATTTGAGAGTGACATAGGTAGTTACCTTACCTAGCTTATTTGGCTCTGCAGTTCAATATTTTGTTTTCTCTCTGTCTCATGATGGTCAACAAGGAACTGAACCGGCTAAACCTGGAGTCGTCGGTAGCGTCGCGACACGCACCACTCACACCGTCTGCCTCGGGCTCCGTCATCGACGTGTCGGTCAGCTCCGATTCGGTGGGACTGCTGACGGGAGACCGCAGCCTCATGTCCCGCCCGCCCCGAATGCGTGCGCGGGGCACGTGGAGTATGCTGACCGGCTCCGCCAGCCCTCTCACCCCCAGGTGATGCGGCTTGCACGACGTTTGTTGGGAATTTTATCTGTGCAAATGGCTCATCGGCTCTAAGCTCTGCCGTCGAGTTCTGTGTTTGTGCCTAAAAGTACAGATTCTAGGGAATTCTTCTGGAATTGAGCAACTTCTATTTAAGCCACTATACCAAGACACACATGCCCCTTTACATGCCATTCTGCAGCATACAGTGATGTAACTGCTACTATTTCTCTAGCTTTGGGGTTCTGCCCATGGACACTCCAAGCTCGGCAGACTCCTCTGTCCTGTCAGGCATCACGCCTACTTCCACAATGATCGAAACTGGGCCTGTCTCTGCTCCAAAGAAGGTACAGCGCTCTTTATGATCTTAATTCTAATTACTTGGGAGTTTGACAATTTAAAATAATAACTTTTTAAACATATGTATGATATTGCCTGTTTTTTTTGTTTATCAGACACTGACTCGCCTCGGTCAGGGAGTGAAGCCAGTGTTTAGCCAGTCTGGTAACAGCCGTGAAGTCGGAACAAACGCTCTGACCCAGAGTTCCACTCCTCCGTCCAGGTTAGTCTTGTGCAGGTTCATTTCAGTCATGCCGAATCTGAAAATTACTAGGATGGACACATTCAACAGAACTTTGTGTGGGTGATGCCTCCTCCAGTACTACCCAAGTGCTCTTCCCTACGAGCGGTGCTCCTGCCAACACGTTCACCAACGCTCCCCCGCGGAGGAGCTCACGCCTGTTTACTAGTGCCAGCTCAACCGCCAAGGTGAGTTACAGTTTGAACAGTTCGTAGGTCCCCTTTTAAATTAATGATGGTGCCTTCCCTGGAACACTGCACAGTTGCATCTTGCTAATACCATTGGAGATTGGCTTTTTCAGGAGAACAGCAAGAAGCCAAAACTGAAGTTTGCATCGCCGAGCAAGTCGCTCAGCCGCAAGCCAAAGAGCAGGAGCAGCAAGGGGGGCCTGGTGCAGCCCAACCTCGGCGAGAACCTGGACGGCACTAAGCCTGAGCCTGGCCAAATCGCGGAGAGGCTGAACCCTGCACAGGCCGTCACGCTGCAAAAGGCTGCGGCGGGTAAAATTGCCTCGCCGGAATTACTTGCATACCAACGGCATGACCATCGAGTACTGTAATGTTTTAAAATATATTCTGAATTAATTTATAAATCTGCTTTATTGTTGGATATTGACCATTTTTGATATAAAATAAAACTGTAATTGTACCATTGTTTTTTTTTTTGCTTTTATTGCAGAAGGGCTAATGAGCCTCCTCAGGGAAATGGGGAAGGCCTACTCTGCACTGTGTTCGTACAACTGCAAGGAGGCCATCAACTTGCTGAGTGAACTCCCACCCCACCACTATCACACAGGCTGGGTTCTGGGTCAGCTTGGAAAGGCACATTATGAGTTGGCAGAGTACACACAGGTATGATTGAGCACAAGCATGCATGTGCACAGTGACACAACCTTCAAGTAAAGTGATTTACTTTGTATGTGGCTAGACATGGCTTCTGATTTGTAAGGAATTTTTTCTTTAATATTTGTTTCTATAATTTGCTGGTTGATATCAATGAATAGAAAACGTGATTTTGTTATATGTGCGTGTAGGCAGAAAAGATATTTCTAGACTTGAGGCACAAAGACCCAACGCAGCTGGAAGGCATGGAGACATTCTCCACCACTTTGTGGCACCTCCAGCGGGATGTCGCTCTCTCTGCCCTGGCTCAGGACCTGACCGCTGTGGACAAGAACTCTCCACAGGTGAGCCATGGTGGCGGTGGAATATTTTCACCGTGTGGGGCCCTTTCACGGTTCAGTCCTTTCAGAATAAACATGCCATAATTGCCAAAGCCATTGATGCCACCAAGCCTTGCGTATGCTTTCGACATTCTACTAGAGCCTACAAGTGCTGCACAGAAAACACATGGCATCTCAAGATCTTTCCTAAAAGTATTCCACCATCTGCACTTAGGTCTTTCCCTTGGTCGTGGGACTTGTGGAGACCACTCCCAATACCCTTCGATCCTTTAACAGAGTTTATAAACGGTCAATAGAGCATTTATTAAATTGTAAACATGTGCCTTACATGATTTGGGGTTTTGTCAACTTGAGTAAAGGTACTGATTTATTTTATGTTCCCAAAAAGCCATCCTTCAGGCTCCACCTGCCACTAATTCCAATGCTTCTCTTCTTTGAAATGCAATTCGGTCATGTTTACCTTAACTTATTACATAGTGGTTTTTCAATATGCTAACAGCACATGTACGCCGTGGTAGCGAGATGTTAACTCCCTGGCATGCAGGAGATCGTGGGTTCGATCCCGACCCTGATGCCTGTTTATTTGGAGTTTGCACGTTCTCCCTGTGGTCGCCTGGATTTTTCTCTCGGATCCTCCAGTTTTTCCATCCACATTTAGAAACATGCCTTTAGAGTATTTGGCTGCTATAAATTACTACTTGATAAACCACTTCGTTGAGGGATCATTTGTGGCCAAGTCACTTCCGAAAAAGAGCCATATAGCTCAGTGATCCTTACCTAGTAAAATAAAAAAAAGTTTTATAGTAGTTTAACAGCTGCAGCTTTCTTTGAATGCTCGTGTTCCTGCAGACGTGGTGCACAGCGGGCAACTGCTTCAGCCTGCAGCGTGAGCACGACGTTGCCATCAAATTCTTCCAGCGAGCGATCCAGGTGGACCCCAGCTTTGCCTATGCCTACACGCTGCTGGGCCATGAGCTGGCGCTCATCGAAGAGCTCGAGAAATCCCTGGCGTGCTTCCGCAACGCCATCCGCATCAACCCTCGCCACTACAATGCATGGTGAGTAGATCTGTGCACCGCCCTTATGCCCTTGTGCACCCTGCGCACACGATAAAAGTTTGTTCGCTTGCCTTGTGCAGAAACTACCAGGGCGAGTTGCACATGTGTTTTTCTTAAATGTGACGAAGCGGTGTGATTTCAAGTACTGTTATTCAAAAGTAAACCTTTTACCCTGCAGGTATGGCCTGGGCATGATTTACTTCAAGCAAGAAAAATATAGTTTGGCAGAGGTTCACTTCAGGAAGGCGTTCAGTATAAACCCGCAGAGTTCAGTGCTGCTTTGTCACATTGCTGTGGTGAGTGATAATACAACATTGCTAACAATTGTTGGTGCCATTATATTGTTAAGTGCTGCAACACTTGAACGTCTTCAATGAGCTTTCTTTGGAATATCCCCTGATGTGAAAATGGGACCCATTTTCCATCCTACAGGTGCAGCATGCACTGAAAAAATCTGATGCAGCCCTTGAGACCCTCACCAGAGCCATCAACGTCGAGCCCAAAAACCCACTGTGCAAGTTCCACCGTGCCTCCATCCTCTTTGCAAATGAGAAGTACAAGGTGAGAGCGCGGATTTCTGTGCAAGCTGCCGGTGCATGCAAGCTTGCTCGATGCACGCCGTTCCATCGGCGGCGGTGCGAGTGGGATGTAATGTTGTTCCCCGCTCTGGTTTTTGAACAGGCGGCCTTGCAAGAGCTCGAGGAGCTGAAGCAGATTGTACCCAAGGAGTCACTGGTGTACTTCCTCATAGGCAAGGTAATACAAGTTTGTGAATGTTGAAGGTACATGTCAACAAGGGACCGTCTTGGGTTTGAAAATTGTGTTTTCAGTGTTGGAACTTATTTTGATCATGATCTACGATGTCAAATCCTGACATGCTCTTTCTTATGCTCTTTCTTATGATCTTAGGAATGCTCTTCCTTCCGATAATAGGAAGCAACTTTTAAGTATAGATTGAAAACTAATTTCTTTAAAACTGCTTTTTTGTATTTAGTTTGTTGTCATTCCCCCACACCTCAGATCAGCACTGTTGACTGTACAGTGGGAAAGGTCTACATACATATGTAGTTATTGACTCGGAAACACTAAGAGTAGGAGGCACTCTGTTTATTAACACGGCCTGATAGTAACATTTAGTAACTACAGGTCGCCAGTCAGGACAGCTGGTCAGACTGCCTGACTGGCGACGCCGAGATGGTGAAGATGGCGATGACGGTGAAGACTCCAGCAGCACGACGGGATCTCACTCCACGAAGTCCCCTCCCAGGGCCCCTCTTATACTGTCCCCCCGGCCACGCCCATTCTGGAACCTACTAGCGGGTTCTCGAATTGCCCCTTCCATAACCTTTCCCCCCCGAGATCCCTCTCTGGTCTATCACGTGGCCTGCTGCCACAGGGCTGCTACAAGCTGCAGATCCCCTTCCCTGCCAGCAGCTATGCTGCTATGTGACCGATTCTATGACTTTACAAATACACGCACACTGTGCCTGTGCATAAGCTGATGGCAATTATGTACACAGGTTTACAAGAAGCTGGGTCAGGGCCACTTAGCCCTCATGAACTTCTCATGGGCCATGGACCTGGACCCCAAGGGAGCAAACAACCAGATCAAGGAGGCAATTGACAAGCGGTACCTTCCGGACGATGATGAACAGGGCCAAGATTCGGCCATGCAGGACCCCATGGACTTCAACGAGAATGGTAATGCAGCTGCAGCAACACCAAGCACTGGCAAGATGTATCGCCGCTTTTCAATCGCTTATAACGCAAGCAATCTACATTTTCGTGACCTGGAAAAGGCATCCAGTCACCTCCACAAAATGCACTGTTGTGTAAATGTAAACGTTGACTTATAAAATAACCCTGTCCCTCCCATCTTTGTGCACAGCGGAGGGGTTTGACTCTCACGAGAGCAACATGACGGACGCGGAGGACACTCAGCTGCATGCGGCAGAGAGCGACGAAAGCCTGTGACGGTGCCCAGCACCATCTGGGGTGAGGCTAGGCCACGACTGAGCCACGCGCTGCACGACCCAAAGCCGGCGGTGCTATTAAAAAGGGGTCTCGCTGACAGTTCCGGCACATCGTGTCTCCCAGCCCGGGTCTGCCTTCACGAGATGTTTCATGCAACGTGCATCCCCAGAGTTCAAGAACGTTGCTTAGGACACGTTTGTGGCTATGGGTGTCTCGCAGCTTTGAGAACATTGACATGTGCCCTTGTACGATGACTGCAAGCAACCATTTAATTGTAAAATAGCCCCAAACATGCTTATTGACTAGTCATGTTTGAGATAATGGGAGAGCCATTTCAATGCGATTTGGCCTCCATGCTGTCTCTTTTAATGTGAAGTGCAGTCAGTTGCTGCACCAAGCTAGTGGATGTGGGTTTGTTTTAGCTCGCGTTAAAAGCAAAACCACTGAAGGTCATAATATACTCATCTTAATAACAATGAACTAAATTTTATTTCAATATGCTTGCTTATGCTTCTGATGGATTCCAATATTGTCACGGTTTTTTTTGCAGTGGTATATCCGATGTATGTAAATCTGTGCATTTTTTTTTTACTGTGTATCCACAACTACAAATTTGGTGGGCTGCCATCACACATTTGTTCTCATATTACCACTAACTTCTCTGCGTGCAAGTGTATGCTTGGTCAATCTGTTCTGTGTGCCTGGTTCTGTGATTTCTAAATGTAAATTGAACTAAATTACGGCAAATACATGTTCAAGTTTTTATTTCAAAGTCCATTTAATAAAGGATAAAATGCTGAGTATATGAAACGAGCTGCAGCTGGTGCCATTTTTATTGCTTTTAAAGATGAATGGCATCAAAGACCTCGTCGGTACTGTAATGTAGACTGCAGTATCCAGTGTATGTGTACTGTATTGTAGACTAATGTTCCAGTAACGGTTCCACGTTTCACAAGCATAGAGAAGGACATGATTGTGGCTGAGAAGACCCGAAGCTTCGTGTGGAGCGACAGCAGGTAGCTTCCACACAGCATTACATCGCCGATAAAAAGAATGCCGCTCGACCGATTCGGAGTGGGACCTCTGCTGTCAAACTAGAACTGGTCATAGGCACACTGCCAGGTATGAAAACGCCACTCTCCGCACAACTCCGTCATCACCATTGGGGAGCTGAGGGTGTGAAGTAAGAATAGATTTTACCCTTTCTGACAAAACAAGTGTTAAGGCGTTAAAACACCAAACAAGCCTTTTTGCAAGGAAACATGTCTGCATTAACCAAATGTACTTGTGGTGAACATGCAATCAAAAATATGCTGTTTTTGATACTGGCAAGAAAGGTTTTATGAGCAGGTTGGAGTATTTGACACAATACCCATGCAGGCGATTTGTTGTGGTGGACTGATGGTAAGGCCCTGCATCTTAGTCTCACACTCCAGGTTCGACAGGAGCGCCTCAAACTCATGAGCAGCAATCACAAGATCATCAGCATACACAACATGGTTGACCAAATAGGGATTTGCGTTGGCTAAGTAATGTATCCTGCACACCCAGCCATCGCATGCCCAAGCAGCTTTTGTTTGGCCAGATAGAGGGGGCTAAATGGGTGCGGCAACAGGCTACGGAAGAGATGGAGTGATGTGGTACAAGAGGATATGGAGCTGAGTGGGCTTGCCGATGACTGGTACCAGCTGTGTCAAGATCGGCCTCTGTGGAGGAGGCTCGTGATGAATGGTATTGGACAGTTAGAGGCAATTGCAACAAGAGTGGAGGAGCGACGCTCACAACAAGCAGAATGCTGTGCAGCTGAAAGTTGCCACAGGAGGGAACACAGGAGATGCATCTGACAGATGTATTGACTAACCGAGATATGGTACCTGGATTTGTCCCGTGACCTGCCAGCGAGCCTTGAACACTTCACCTCACTTTAAAGTGCACATTGCCTGGCACAAGCGCCGTGGTGCCGTTACCGCCACTTAGTGGCGAATGGCGATCATTGTTGTAGACTAGTGTCTGTACTGTATTGTAGGCTGTAGTGTATGTGTACTTTAATAACTGCAGATACACAAGTCTTGTACCAAAAGACATCTCTGTATAGCCTACACATACTTTTGGGGCAAGTGTGCTTGGTGAGGACGTAATGAAGGTTGGCACGGCACACAAGGGGGTGGATGACCAGCACCCACACTACCAATCTCACACATCTTCAGAACCATCTTATGTTACGTTCGCTTCGGCAGTCCAAGGCTTGACTGAGGGCTTGGCCTCTTCCACGTCCACGACTTTGGCTGCCCCCCACGGAGCGAGACGTCGGCTGGGCCCATGGGATCGACTAAGAGAGCTTGCGGTCCTCTGTACTACCTCTGAATGCCGCTCGCCTGTCTACGCAGGCATGCCCGTGTGGCCTGCCTGTGCGCTGCTGCCCACTGTGCATCACTGCCTGCCTGTTGTTACCACACCTTTGCTGCAGGGGTATACCCCGATCTGACCTGGCCCGCTCTGCGGGTTGCGGCTGCCAGGCCCTCCACCTTCACAATTGAGTCTCTGCACCTCCATCGTTTCCTACCCAGAATGGCTCGCTTACCCTTCTCTGATCTGCTCCGTTCTCTCCAATCTCATTTCACCTCTCCCCAACCTCATTCATCCTTGCACCACTTTCTTTGGCTCTTGGTTTAAATTCCTTCCATGTGGCAGCGCCTGATCTCTGGAATAACCGAGCAAAAATGTTTGGGGTCAAAACCTAACCATTGTCCTATTTTACATCACTTTTTGGATCTCAATTTCTATGCAAGTTGAATTGCATTCGCACCGTATGTAGCCAACCATGCTAATTGGAGGTGCGATAGATCACTGCTTTGCAGAATAAGTTTTACATGTGATGTGTTCCAGTAGCCGTGGACTTTCTGTGCTAGTTGTGCCACATCGAATCGCAGACATTCTGTACTTGACCCTGTACAGTTGTTTTTGGATTGTTCGTTTTTTTGTGCCGTAACGAGGTGTTTTATGTCCATCTAAAATGAACATGTATTGGCAAGCGGGGTTTACCTGTGCCAAAATAAAACCTAAATGCATAAAAACGAATAATCCAATTGCTGATTCAGCATCATGCTTGTTTGTACTCTTTGTTTTTTTTCGGTAAAGTCACGTAGGTAAAATAAAACTAAATTAAATCACGTTTCGGAGGCAACACAAGCTTCCGTCTTCAGGTGGAACAGTCACAGCAAGATAGCTGAAGACGGAAACTTGTGTTGCCTCCGAAACGTCGTGATTTAATTTAGTTTTTTTTTATTTTACCTACGTGACTTTACCAAAAAAAACAAAGAGTATGAATCCTTGCAGTCACGAAAGCTTCAAATCTAGAAAAAATATGCTTGTTTGTGTTTGCAATAACTTGACAGTTTGTACACAACACGTACAAATTAATGTGTACTTTATTCAAAGAGTATGTTGTTGTGCATGTATTCGTAAACGTAAGATTGAATAAAAATGTGTTTAGTTTTCTAACCTATAAATGTCACATTGCGATATTGCATACCATGCGCGTATTTATCTGTTAAAGAAATAATAGCCATAACAGCCCCTGAAACAAGAATCCTAAATTATAAATCACTGAAGCATATAAACTTTGAACTGTGGGAACTAAGTCTAAGCCTTAATAAACTGCTGTAGGGTAAAAACCACATGAAATATGCAAACATGTTATGTTTTTTCAGCAAGTACTCAAATTGGATAATGCGAGTCATCGTTTAGTGTTGTAATGATTTGTATGGTGTCCGAAGCTAATTGAAGAAAACATGAAAGTGCATCGAATCTGAAAAGGCAACGTATCTGCACCTGCTTTTAAAAGGAATTTGACACAAGTTATGACTACAAAGAAAACCCGAGGATAAATTTACTTATGATAACAGTCTTAACATTACCGGTAATTTTGGCAAAATTGCAAATTATCCAGCAGATTCACTTATGGCACCCGTTAATTGTCTACAAACCAGCAGTCTACTACTGCACTTTTATGACTCGCACTACTACGTTACTTATTACTGTCAATTCTTACGATGATCACTTGACATGTTTGCTCCCAAGCTGCAAGATGCAGTACAGGTTAAATCTGTTTCACCACTGGCTTGTGGACTGGACAACCACTGCATAGTTAAGAGTAATCACAGCTTGCACAATAGTAATGTACTTAATCTAAATATCCTTATATCCAAAAAGAAATACATCAGTTATATGTGTGTGTGCATGCTCAGCTTGACTACAATTGAGACCGCATCCTCGTGTTTTAGTCAAGCAAAGGTAAATTAAGTAATGCATATTCAGGTGACCAACACACGATAGCCCATCTCCATTACAATTTGAATTTTATGAGATGTTCAGGGTAGGCCTGGTTATCGTTAAAGATGACGAACATAGATGGGTTGTTCATATTGTCCGTCACACTGTCGTACAGCACGGCGTTTTGCTGGCCCTTGGGTGGAGGTTCGATCATGCCCTGTTTCCCCGTCGTGAAGTCACCAGTCAGCACGCGTGTCCGGTACATATATTTGCTGCCATCGCTCTCGGCTGGTGAATATGTCGGCTGTGCCGAGTAGCTAGCACTGACGGCAAAGTACACTCCATTCCCATAGCACGTAGCTAAAACGACACGTAGAAAAGGGGATTCAGAGATAACATTTGTCATACAGAATTTTTCCAATACAGTATAAAACAATGCCGAAAAACTTTCACCCATGTGGTCTCTCATTTAGCCCTGCAAAGAGTTTGGCCGATATTCACTTGGGCAACAGTGCATGGCACACTGCCATTAAATGTTGTGCATGCATAAACTTTATCGAACGTGTTAAGACTGCATTGCTACGAGGTGGGCCGTAGGTGACAGTACATCTATACCCTATATGAATTTCACTGGTATCCCCATCTTATAAGTTGCAGAGCTCCAGGTGCATATACTCGATGTCCAGATGTCCCAATGCAGAAGCCTCCTGGTAAAATTGTCTTGAAACTCAATAAACATTCATGCCCTTCTATCCCCCATTTCACATGCTTGTGCCTCATGAGATTGTCCACCTAGGGGTGGTGATATCAAAGAAAATTGTGAAAATGTTATTGAATGAATGGCCAGGACTTGTTCAGTTCACTGGTGAGTGTAGAGTGATTGAGAGAAATAAACACTCACCATTTTTTCCACAGTAGCTTCTGTTGAATCCATTTGTGTTGACTTTATCACATGTGGCATATGCAGTTCCATGGAAGAGAATTCTTTCATTTAGCTGGGTGTTGGGTTTGTTTGCCTTATCCATCTCTTTCTTCTTTGTCATGTAGAGTTTCCATAACGAATGGTTCTGAATTTGAGTTATCTACAACAACAAAACAATACAAAAATGATGGCCATTGTATCTATAACTAGTGTGCTGTTCTCAGCCGATATTGGACATTCCAAACTCATGTACACGGGGGTGCAAGTGCACTGGATTTCTTAACACATTTTAAAGTGGGTGCAAAATGTAGCTTTCTGTTGTAAAAACAATGTAAATCCAAAAAACATGCAGATTGTAACAGACACCTCTTCATAATGACATACTTATTACTGTTCTATTGGCTCTAATAGATCTCCTGGCTCCTTAACCCAAAGCAAAAGCTGACCTCTTCAATCTGAAAGCTGGGCTGCTTGGAGAGTTTCCCCAGAGATTGCTTGAAGTCATTTGCAATGCTCCGATACTTATGCGACGTGGGATCCAGTGGCACAGACAGAACGCGGTCCTGTCCCGAGTCACTCACGTCCATCCACTCAATGGGAATAATGTCTAAAGGCA